ACCGGGATTTTGCTTTGAAACCTGGAATGTGCAAACTATGTGCTGAAGGTAGATTGAACAGCAGGGGTCTGGATGTGAATGTGTGCAGTATGTGTGCATTGCGGGGGCACGAGCTGTTTAAAGGTCTGTTCCTTCTGTCCTAACAGACTTGCAACTCCTATTGAAGCAAATGGGAATTTTGCATACAAAAGAATTGCTTTTCCGAGGCAGGGGCTCTGCATTTTATGGGCCATGTTCTCTGCCCATATACATAGTCACCAGCAGAAAATTTGGACTTAAATCTTAGTCTCTGTCTCTATTTATTTTTTAACTCATGCTTTTGCTTTGATACTCCATTCACATGCAACTCATGCTTGAAGCCATTTGGGGGCATTCGTAGTGCTGTGGCAGCTAAATCAATCTTCCTTTAGAGGTTTTTCTCCTCTGTCATATTCCCAGAAGATAAATCTGAAAATAAATCCAGAGCTCTCATGGAGGCTAAAGATTAAAAAAAGTTTTACATTGACTTAGAATTAATACTTTTCTAACTAGTGAATGATTAAATGTGCATTGCTTCCTGGCTACACAACAACTTAAAATCAATTGCCAGGTGAAAAAAACAGGCATATTTTTAAGTCTTACTCATTGTGTAGCTTGGTACCAGGATGTACATGTTGATGAAGGACAAACTATCTATCAGGATGCAAACGTCATCACACTAGTGTTTGTCCAAGCAGCCTAAATCATTTTCTGCTCTGGTAATTCGTTCTTAAAGTCTGATCCTCCGCTCTTTACATATCCCACACTTGTATTGACTTTAAATGGCTTGCATTGCCTTCAGTGGACATTTTGAGGGGGTTCAGGAAGCTATTGCAGGAGTCTATCAGCCCCGAATATAACATTGCTGGTTTACTGGGTTGATTTATTTTCCAAACACTAGGTCTCTACTGTAACTTATGGTAAATAGAATAATTGTGTCTAAACAGAACGGAGCATGATTTTGTATCATTCAAATTTTCTTTTCAGTTTTCTTTTTTCAGTGGATTAATGAAATCCCAGGATTTCCTTATACAGATTCTTCTTGAATAATTCTTGGAAATAGTGAAATAATCAACTGCAGAGAATACGTCTGCACCTTGATTTTTGTGGAACCAAAATGACTAATTATTTATTACTTTCTCTCATCTTATTTGGACACAGGAATTACACCAGTGAGTTTTTTTAATCATATCAAGTCTTGAAGAGATGTAATTTTTTACAAATGCATGTTTAGATAGAGCACTATCTTGTAATCTTTACATAACCCTTTTATTAAATAGGGAATTTGGATGGGCAAAGAAAATGGAGTCAAACCCTCTATTATTAATCCATATGCTGCAGGAAGATCTGCATACAGCCAGCATGGGCAGAAAGGAGAAGGGTGAGGCAATTTAGAAGATGAAAAGAAGAAAAAAACAACAACAAATCTGCTAATCGCACAACACAGGCACAGCACAACTACTCCTAGCTGGTGGCTCAGTCAGTAAGGGAAGGTTTGGCCTGTCACAGCGACCAACGTCTCCTTGGAAACACAGGAGGGTAAACTCCAATCTCCTGAAAAAGTGGGGGCTGGGATATGTAAACAAGTAAAATGAGATAGATGGACAAGGAATCCCTCCAGTCAGTTTGGGAGCTTCCTAGAGCCCTGCTTCAGTTACCATGAGCCATCCAATCAAAGCAACAGGGGTGTGACCTGGAGGAGAGAAGGAGGAGGTGGTGGGGACAGAGACAGGACCAGTTTTCCAAGCTGAACGAGAGAGCGTCCATAGTTTCAGGTAGAAGTAACAGGTTACAGATTAACATTAAAGGTAAAGAATTTAATTTAGGAATTTAAAGGTAGGGGACTGGGGAATTCAAACATTGCAGTTATATATGAGTCTATGGTTTCAGAAAGTCATGCTTTTAAAATTGCAAGTAAGAAACTTGGCAAACAATTGTGAGGTTTGAACGTTCAGATTATTAGTAGGGGTGCTATTGGGGAAAAAAACAAACAAAAGAGATTGGCATGAGTTTCAGCTGTTAGTCTCCATGGAGTGGGACTCTTTGGGACAGGGACAGTGTGTAATTACATGTTTTGACAGAAACTAGCACCTTGTGGGCACTATTATAATCCAGAGAATGATGTGTTCTTTCACCTTTCATACCATGCACTTTAGAGTTTTTCAGAGAAATAAGGCAGGGGTTTTTAACGGGTTCTGTTGAGCTCGATATAGGGGTAACTGGGTGAAAAGTAATGGTATGTGATATACAGGATTTTAGAATAAATGTTCTAATTGTTCCTTCTGGTCTTAAACTCAATGACTCTAAGGGTTAGGCATCCAATTTTCATTATATTTCAATGGGATTTAGGTGTCTAACTCCTTAAAGTTTCTTTGAAAAATCCAGCCTGAAATTTCATTTTTATTTTTACAATACAAATAAATCTTATTTTATTTTTACTCTGGCCAATTTATGTGAAGCACCATAGCCAGTAAAAAGTTAACTCAGGCAACTGTAATTGCTAAAAACTTTATTAATTAAACAAATTAAACAAATTAATGACCATGTTGTCCTTCTCTTATGGGAGACAGCTGATGATGTTGTACAGTTGGGGTAGGAAGCAAAGACATATGAGATTAGTAGACTGCCTTTTCCTTACTTTATCAATGGCTATTAATGCATGTTTATAAGGCACCTGTAGAGCTGTTGTTTAGCATGTCTAAAGAGTTTATAGTCACTAAATCTTTTAGTAATCATGCATATTTTTAACCTTCAGAACTCCAGAATAATAAAGTTATGTGTTACCCATAAATCCTTGCCCACTCTGTTACCCCTTTTTGTTCTATGTGCTACATCAGGAAGGCAGTGTTGCAGCAGTCATGTGATTTTTGAAATATCTACAAGGCTGTGAATTCATCACATGCGCAGAAAGAGGTCATACTACTGAGTGGGCCTGGAAGATCTACCATAGAGAACAACTCTGACCCATAATGTGTCAGATTTAGAAGGGCTTTTCTATCCTTCTCTATGCTACTATGGAATAAAACAAGTGAAACAAAATGTCTGGTGTAAGGTCCTGATCCTGAAGATTCACTAACATGGACTCTGCATTTGCATAGACCTCAGTGGGAATCACATGGACATATCAGTGTTTCCAACGGCAGGTTCATGGCCTAAGTTGTCATATTTATTATTCATTTGATCAGTTTTTACTGTGCTGTTACTTTAATCCAGTTTCTGCTGTGAATGTAAAAGGGCCAGTTTTATCCCTGGTGTAATTCTACTGATGGTTGTGTCTAAAGGCACTGATTGCAAAGGGTGTTCCAATAGCCATCAGACTGGATTGGCTTGTCTGTGGAAACCTGGTTTAGCACTCCCCCAGGTGCCACAGAGGTCTGGGGAGCAGAGTAATTAAAGCTGCCCTACCCTTACACCGTCAGAGAGGAGAAAAGTGATACAGAATAGGGGAAGGGAATGTGAAGGGCAGAAGCAGCAACTCCACTCCTATTTGGAAATTCCCTGAGCGAAATCAGCTCCTGCTCCATGCTCACTCCAGTGTATGCATGGAGAACGTGGCATAGGCACAATATGAGTGGCCTCATGAAGAAGCCATGCTGACACTGGGGATGAGGCCAGACGGTCTGCAGAGGGATGCCTCTGGGAGAGACTGGAATTTCCTTTCCCCACGGAGGGTCCAATTTTGGAAGCACCATAATTTATTGCAAAATGGTATGATGTGGTCCTAAATCTTTCAGGTATCTCTCACCCCTCATCAGACTGTTGCTATGCCCCTTGATGGGTCACAAGACCCATATATAATATAACACTTATATTATTTTTGGAGATTTGCATCCATCACCCATTCAAACATAAGTTATTTTAAGTATCGGCTGGTGGATACTTTAACAACAAGCAGCTATTGGCTTTGCTGCGATCATGTCTTTCAGAAGATGATGGTCTTTTTTGTTTTACTTTGACTTGGCTCTATAACCTTTGTCCATTCAAAGATCTGGTGCTAGATCCTGCTCCCACTGAGGTCAGGCAGAATGTTGCCATTAAGGTGAACAAATACAGGATTGGTTGCTTTATTTGCTACATATTGGGAGTCTGTGAAAAGGGAACTTTAGGAGGTAGCAGTGCATTGAAAGCAATATTTTGAGAGGAGGGGAAGGATAAGGAGTTGTTTAATTCCTCTCATGCTAATGTCTTAGTAGTGATTCAGAACCGGGCTTCTTGAAGGAATGTCCATGGGTTCCCAAAGACAGAGCAACAATCCTCAATAGGGCAACAAAAGTGCACTTCCTACAGGACTTTAGGGCTTTGTCTACACCGTATACCAGCATGATGAAGCTGCACTGGTCCTAGCAATGGCATAAGCAGTAGTGTAGACAGGGTTCAGGCATTTTTACCATCAACTTCTCAACTGGATACATGCTGCAGGATGTATTCTGTTGTTTTGATATATGTTTATTGAATGTCCAGTAAAGATTTTGAAAGGACTATAGTCCTAGTGTCCTATATTACATGTAAGTCATATCCAAGATGTAAGTGTTTTCTCAGTGTAATGTGTTAGTTATGCAGAAGAATATCTTTGTGAATAGAATTCAAACAATTGATTTCTTCAGCCTTATCAACGTGTTGATAATTGTGGTGCTGTGAAATTATGTAAGTGTGTGCAGGCCTTACAAGTTATAGTAATATTTAGCACTTGCATTTTTAACTATAAATGTTAAGAGCTGGGAGGTGGAATTACCTCTGTATACAGCATTCGGGTGAACATGACTGGAATACTGTGTCCAGTGCTGTCCACAATTCAAAAAGATTGTTGAAAACTTGGAAAGGGTTCCAAAAAGAGCTACAGATTGTTTTGAGGTCTGGAAAACATGCCTTATAGTGAAAAACAATAATTTCAATCCATTTAGTTACTCTATCTAAGAGAAGGTTAACAAGTAACTTAATCATGGTCTAAAATCTCTAAAAGAGATTTCTGATAGTAGACAGCTCTTTAAGCTAGCAGAAAAAGCATAATGAGATCCAATGATTAGAAGATGAAGCTAAGCAAATTCAGACTGGAAATAAGGGTGTGTACATTTTTAACTGTGAAGGTAATTAACCATTGGAACAACTTACCTGGGGACACGATAGATTCTCCATCACTTGAAGCCTTTAAAACAAGACATGCTATAGCTAAAACAGAAGTTCTGGACATGATGCAGAAATTATTGAGTGAGGTGTAATGCAGAATGTCAGATTAGGTGCTTATAATGGCCCCTTCTGGCCTTGAAATCTATGAATTGTGTGATGTTTGTAATGAATGTTGTAATATGTGTTGTTGTTATGAAATGTTGGAAATGGATCCCTTGAACAAGAAATGGTTTGTAGCACTAGTAGGATCCACCTGGTTTGGCTGCCTGGTAGAGTTAGTAGAAATAACTTTTCATTTCTACACAGGGTCCTAGAACCTCAGACCTGTTATAATCCTATACAATTGCTAAATATTATTGCTAAATATTTGCTCACATGTGGAAGTATTAAGCTTATATGAACGGCCTACATTTGTGTAGGTTTTTGCAGGATACCACACAGCTACATTAGGTTGTCATTTGTCTCAGAGAGAGAGCTAGCATTTGCACATGGTTAGTATAGATCAGACTCTTGCTAGCTGTTTATTTCCTCCCAAGGGCAGCTTGTATTTCCAGTTTTGTGCAATGATATTTTTGACTGATAATATCAAATGGCCACAAAAGTCGTTCATTAACAAGCAGAAAGCTCTTACAAGTGAAGTATTTGTGTAGTCTGAGGAAGTAAGATAGGTTTCGGTATTCAAGAACATGTTTTAAAGACCGTACTTGGTAATCAGTGCCAATCAGATAAAGCCTTTTTCAGCTCTGTGAATCTTTGCTAAAGGGGGAAATTCTTGTTCTAGATGCCTGGTACAGCGAGGCATGACCGGGACATGGCAATCCAGGCCAAAAGAAACTTGGCCAAAACCACAGACCCAATTGAGAGGCTTCGGCTGCAGTGTCTAGCAAGGGGGTCTGCAGGCATCAAAGGACTTGGCAGGTAAATCCAAGAAGCCAAATACATTATTAAAGCAAAGAACCTGAGTAATAAGATGCTATATCAATACGGCTAAAATGGGCCTAAGCTGCAAAATATCAGCTGTTGATTGAAGTCAGTGGCAAAACTCCAACGGACTTTCATGGAGCCAGGATTTCAAATGCTCCAGAGTTCAGGGGTGTTTGGATTTGTGAAGTGCAACTGCAACTCCAGTACTATTTTTTTCTTCAAAGATTTTTCAATAAAAATATAAAACTAACCAACTAAACAAAAGAGAGCAATGGAAAGAACAAGGAATTGAAATTAATGCAAGCATCTGCATCGCTAACGTCAAAACAAAGGGATGTAAAGGTACAAGGGCCAGATCCAAATCCTTATTCTTCAGTGAAATGACACTGATTTGTACCTGCTGATGGTCTGGACAACAAGCTTCCTGCTTTGCACATTTAACTTCTGTTTTCCTATTTAAAATTTTGATATGGGACAGGGCTTGGCTGTGAGGTAGGACCATTAGACCAAAGTGCATGGCCATAGGATCAGTGTGCACTAGTTACATGTGTATATTAGTTAATGAGCTCACAATGGAAGTGGACTAGAAAGACAAAGGAAGTATTATTATCCCCATTTTACAGATGGGGAAGTGAGGCACAGAGAAACTAAAATGACTTGTACGCATGGCCAGACTTCCTTTGTGACCCTGGGCAAGTCATTAAATCTGAAAATGTTGCTTTAGTAATTACATCATGTATGAGTCATGTTCTATCACAACTGCATCTATGTGTCACCAATTTTAATGTAGTTTTCTGTTTAGTTACTGATTATAATTTTTTCTCCATCTCAGCTGAGTTTGACAATTCTTTCAACCATTCCCAACAGCTATGATTTACCAGATGGCTCAGTTTCAATACAATAATAATAATTATTATATTGGGGTTGGATTTTTAAAAATACTTGTATACTTCCTTTACTGCAGTCCTATTTAAAAGTAAAACATCTTCCAACTACCATCTTAGCAGTTTGTGTTTTGTGAAGGTCACATTTCATGTTCAGAGAGAGGGAATGGAAAATAGGTCTTGCCAAACTGACTAGGTGGGGTAAGCAATGCTGATTGACAGGCATTGCTCATTACCACCTCAATACCGCCTTTTCTCTGAAGAGACTTTACGAAGAGGAAATGTTATCCCAATAAGGTGTCCCTTTCAAGTCCTAATAAACTGTCATTCTTCTATGTAAATTCTGCCTCTTGTACTACTCTCATTCTTTATTTTATTTATTTTAAACACACGTTTTTCCACAGGGTATTTCAGATTATGGATGATGACAAAAGCAGAACCCTTGATTTCAAAGAATTCTTGAAAGGGTTAAATGATTATGCCGTGATGATGGACAAGGAAGAAGCTCAAGAGCTTTTCAGGATCTTTGATAAAGATGGCAACGGAACAATAGACTTTGATGAATTTCTTGTAACGTTAAGAGTAAGTTTCCAAACAACGTGCTTTTTTGTTATCTAAATGAGAAAAATCCTGTTCCATGACTAGCTGAACAGTCAAGTAATAGGTCAATGCAGTTCTATTTTATCAGTAATACTGGTATCTACATAAATATCAAAGGGACAACATCAGTTTGAAGAATTTCATTTCCATCTAAAAATGAGAAAGGAAAGGTGGTATTTTGGGTCAGTCTGTGGACTGGGAGCCAGGGTTCTGGGGTTCAGTTCTAGGGCTTTACTACAGACTTCCTTGGGAAAATCACCTACTCTCTCTAGGTCTCACTTCCCTATCTAAAATGGAGATGATAAATGTCCTTTGTTTTGCTTGTCTGCTTATGCTGTAAACTCATTAAGGCAGCATGGTCTTCTCTTTGCATGTGTTCATACAGTGCCTAGCACAATGTGTGTGTGTGTGTGTGGGGGGGGGTGTTAATCTTGGTTTGGGCCTGTAAATACTACTAAAATACAAATGTAAAAAAAGAGATATCTTATACCTATTGTTGTTACAAGTGAAATCTAATATGGAGAGAACAGAAAGATATTCTAAAAAACATTTTTACCTGTTTTTTCAGTTTGTTTCTCTACCTTTGATAGAAGTCTGAGTCCAATCAGTTGCACTATTTAGTCAATGGTGAATGGCATTTCCTGTCTCAAGCTCTTGTCCAACAGGATGACTGTCACACTCTTCTCTGGGTAGCATTTATGTGCACACCATGTCCCAGGCTCTCTGAAAGTGGGTTTACTAGTAACAGCAGCAGCAAAGCTTGAAGCTGAAACTGGACAGACAGCAGACCGACAAAGGATTAATCTGTTGATATCTGCTTTCAGCCTCCAATGTCTAATGCCAGAAAAGACATCATCATGCAAGCGTTTCGGAAGTTTGACAAAACCGGTGATGGTATTGTAACCATTGAAGACTTACGGGGGGTGTATAATGCAAAGCATCATCCCAAATATCAGAATGGAGAATGGACAGAAGATCAAGTTTTTAGAGCCTTTCTAGATAACTTTGATTCACCGTATGAGAAAGATGGGAAGGTAAGTGGAATAGCACAAGGCAACTGAAGGGCGCTCCATTGGAAAACAAGCCCAATATCCAACAATTAAAAGCATGTACAGCGCATCTGTGCCGTGCTTATTGATACATCCTTTGCATTAATAGTAAAATGGATGTACAGCCATGAGGATAATGTTCTTATGTTTCTTTCCCTCCATTAATACCCAACTGCTTTTTTAATGCAGAGACCTATCCTTTTGAATAATTTGGGCAATTGAAGTATAGTGGGCTAAGTCCTGTGTCCTGCACTCATTGGGTCAGGGCTCTGTTACCTGGAGCGAAGGATTGGACTGGAGACGCTCTGCAGCTGCTTCTGTACCTCTGCTCAACCCACGGCACAACCGTGCCAATGGTTGGTGGTATCACGTAGCAGCAGATCCACTGATTTCACCTCTCCAGCCTGCCTGTGTCACACCCCCAAGCCCACTGCATATAGAACAAAATCTGACCATATGCAAAATCATAGGATTTGGGGTATTTTTGTAGTTACTTGTGATTGATTTGCAAATAATGGGATACGGCATCAGACTATGCATTCCACCTCAGGGCAACAGCACACTACATAATTAAGAAAAGTGCAATTATTGCTAATAAACAGGCCTTGATTTTCAAACTCCTTGTGAGGAGAAGATTCTCCACCTGCTAAAAAACTACAATGCATGGTCTAGTTTAAGCACAGAGTCCCTGATTCAGGAAAGCATCCCTATTCAGGACAGCATTTATGCATGTGCTTAGCTTTGAGCACGTGCTTAAATAACTTTGAGGTGAATTGGCATTGAAGTCAGTCATGAATAAGGAGATGGACTTCATAGAAGATTAGGATTGGAAGAGACCCCAGGAGGTCATCTAGTCCAACCCCCTGCTCAAAGCAGGACCAGCACCAACTGAATTATCCAAGCCAGGGATTTGTCAAGCCGGGACTTAAAAACCTCTAGGGATGGAGATTCCTCCCTAGATAACCCATTCCAGTACTTCACCACCCTCCTTGTAAAATAGTGTTTCCTAATATCCAACCTAGGCCTCCCCCACTGCAACTTGAGACCATTGCTCCTTGTTCTGTCATCTGCCACCACTGAGAACAGCCGAGCTCCATCCTCTTTGGAACCCCCCTTCACGTAGTTGAAGGCTGCTATCAAATCCCCCCTCACTTTTCTCTTCTGCAGATTAAACAAGCCCAGTTCCCTCAGCTTCTCCCCATAAGTCATGTGCCCCAGCTCCCTGATCATTTTTGTTGCCCTCCGCTGGACTCTCTCTAATTTGTCCACATCCTTTCTGTAGTGGGGGGCCCAAAACTGGATGCAATACTCCAGATGTGGCCTCACCAGTGCTGAATAAAGGGGAATAATAACTTCCCTCAATCTGCTGGCAATGCTCTTACTAATGCAGCCCAATATGCCGTTAGCCTTCTTGGCAACATGGGCACACTGCTGACTCATATCCAGCTTCTCATCCACTGTAATCCTCAAGTCCTTTTCTGCAGAATTGCTGCTTAGCCAGTCGGTCCCCAGCCTGTAGCGGTGCATGGGATGCTTCCATCCTTAGTGTAGGACTCCACACTTGTACTTGTTGAACCTCATCAGATTTCTTTTGGCCCAATCCTCCAATTTGTCGAGGTCATTCTGGACCCAATTTCTACCCTCCAGCATATCTATCTCTCCCCCCATCTTAGTATCATCTGCGAACTTGCTGAGGGTGCAATCTATCCTATCATCCAGATCATTAATAAAAATGTTGAACAAAAACGGCCCCAGGACCGACTCTTGGAGTACTCAATTTGATACCAACTGCCAACAAGACATTGAGCCATTGATCACTACCCGTTGAGAACGACAATCTATCCAGCTTTCTATCCACATTATAGTCCATCCATCCAATCCATATTTTTTTAACTTGCTGGCAAGAATACTGTGGGAGATGGTATCAAAAGCTTTGCTAAAGTCAAAATATATCACATCCATTGCTTTCCCCATATCCACAGAGCCAGTTATCTCATCATAGAAGGCAATCAGGTTGGTCAGGCATGACTTGCCCCTGGTGAATCCATGTTGACTGTTCCTGATCACCTTCCTCTACTCCAGGTGCTTCAAAATGGTTTTCTTGAGGACTTTCTCCATGATTTTTCCAGGGACTGAGGTGAGGCTGACCGGTCTGTAGTTCCCTGGGTTCTCCTTCTTCCCTTTTTAAAAGATGGACACTATATTTGCCTTTTTTCAATCGTCCGGGATCTCCCCCATTCGCCACAAGTTTTCAAAGATAATGGCCAATGGCTCTGCAATCACATTAGCCAATTCCCTCAGCACCCTCGAATGCATTAGATCTGGAGCCATGGACTTGTGTATGTCCAGCTTTTCTAAATAGTCCTTAACCTGGTCTTTCACCATTGAGGGCTGCTCACTCCTCCCTATACTGTGTTGCCTAGGACAGCAGTGTGGGAGCTGACCTTGTCTGTGAAGACAGAGACAAAAAAAGCATTGAGTACTTCAGCTTTTTCCACATCATCTGTCACTACGTTGCCTCCCCCATTCAGTAAGGGTCCCACACTTTCCCTGACCACCTTCTTGTTGCTAACATACCTGTCAAAATCCTTCTTGTTACCCTTCACATCCCTTGCTAGCTGCCACTCCAGTTGTGTTTTGGCCTTCCTGATTACACCCCTGCATGCTTGGACAATATTTTTATACTCCTCCCTAGTCATCTGACCAAGATTCCACTTCTTGTAAGCTTCCTTTTTGTGTTTAAGCTCACTGAAGATTTCACTGTTAAGCCCAGCTGATCACCACATACTTCAGTGCTTTCCTGAATTGGGGCCAGAGTTCAGATTTTTGTTACCACCTGTGCCACTAATTGGTCTTAACAATGTTTTTTGCACTTTATAAACACTTTCAACACACAAACATATTTAGGAAGTAAATATAATTGTCCCTACTTTACAAAAGCCCAAGGTCATAGAAAAGTCAGGGTCAGAACTTGCATCTCTTGTTTCCAAGTCTTGTGCCTAATCCACTAGATCCACAGGTCCTTCTGAACAACAAACTTGACCTCTCTGAGCTGGAGTCTGATCTAAGCCACACCACTGTTGTAAACTCATGGAGCTTCCAAAGCTTCCTGTTATTTGAAACAAGGACATGTCCCCTGACGTTAGCAGCGGGGATCCGGGCTTGCTTTTGTTAACAGGTGGTTTCAGATAAGTGAAATTCATATAATGGAGCTGGTAAGGATGTCTGGCTTAGTGAGCAGAACTAATTTGTTTTAGCCAATGTGCCTTAACACTGAGCTTCAGATAAAAATCACCTTAGCAAAAGCACCATAGTCTTGCTGAGTCAACCAAGCTTGGGAAGCTGGATGCCTGTTTATAATAAGTGGAATAGGCTTTAAGGTCCAGATCCCCCAGTTATTGAATCATTTTAGGTGTCTCCCAAACACAAGACTGGAACAATGACTGGGAGATATCTTTTTTGTAAATAGCTTTATTCAAAGTACTGTATAAATGGTCCAAAGATTAAAACTTCACAAAAACATTTATATAAATGAAGGATTGGAAAAAATATTTCTCCACATATAAAAGGTCAGGCCAATTTAAAAAGTGGATGGGCAGACTAGTTGCTTTTGTAAATGGTTTCAACCCAGAAATGCATATAAAAATAAACAAAACTCAGCTGAGATTTAAAAACTGCTTTCTCTCTTTTAGTCAGGTCTACTCTGAAGAATGGCATCTTTAGCTTGATAAATGGATATAAAACTACAATCTCCCAATAGCAGCAGGAACCCATTCCAATTCATTCATTACAATGTAATGAATTTGCTGTCCAAATTCAGATGAGTCAAAGAGAAAATTAAATGGCAATAGTTGTCTTTTTGAAGGACGAGAGCTTCACTGATTCTGTCTTTGTTTCCAGGGAAGATGAGAACTAATTTCAACTAGGTTCACATAGGGAACAGGACCTCTACATTTTAGGACTTTCCACTACTGAAGGAGTTACACCTTCTTCATTTTCCCTCCTGTCTTAGGTTCCTTCCTAATTCAAGATAACTTGAAGCACAACAAGTATATGGCTTAAATCTTGCTCGTTTACAGATGTTTATTTACATATAGTATGTACGTGTTATGACATGAAGAATGAAGGTTTCCTTTTTTGTTTTAAAATTTTCTACTTTAGGTTACAACAGAAGAATTCATGAACTACTATGCAGGAGTCAGCGCTTCAATAGACACTGATGTCTATTTCATTATCATGATGAGAAATGCTTGGAAATTCTAACTGTACATTTAAGGAAACAAGACATTATTTCCAGCTGCTTAGCTCCACATGATTAAATATGTGCATAATAATATGGTCACGTTTCCCACAATAGTACCTTGTAGTCACTGAGCTGATTTCAATATATCAGAAGAGACAATACTCACTATACCACATTGTTTTGGCAGGACCGTGCTGAGCTGATGGACATCATAGGCTAAGAGGAGATTTGGTAGCACTGCCAATAATCACGCCCCTCCCTTTTCCTCCTGCTCCCCTTCTCTATGTTGTTTCTTCTCTCAGATGAGTAACCAGTTTCTCCTCAGACATGTGTGCTAGGCACCTTTCATTCCCAAACATGTTTCCAAATTCATGGCACAAGCTGCAGCTGTGTTTCAAAGAAGGTACCATAGCACCAGAGCAGAGGATTCTGGGATGTATATACTTAGTATAAATGTATAGGCATTTTTGTAGTATGTATACTGTCCTAATGCTCCATAGATTTATCTTCCTTCTTTTTCCTTCTATTCCTTTATCAAAGTCACCAGAGGGCATAGATGCTTTACAATGTTCTCTTGTAACTGTGCAATTGGAATACCTACCAGTGCTCCACCCAGTGTCTATGCTAGACCTAATCTGAAAGACTATACATATTACGAAGATACTTCTCCTGGGAATTTTTTATGAACTAAAGAACTTTATAATCTTATTTTTTCTTGGCTTTGCTGTTGAAAAAGACTGGA